TATTTGTGTGTAAATGTACTGAGTGTTTGTAAAGATAGTATTTGTGTGTAAAGGTACTTCACTTTTGTAAAGATAATATTTGTGTGTAAATGTACTGAGTGTTTGTAAAGATAGTATTTGTGTGTAAATATACTGAGTGTTTGTAAAGATAGTATTTGTGTGTAAATGTATGAGTGTTTGTAAAGATAGTATTTGTGTGTAAATATACTGTTTGTAAAGATAGTATTTGTGTGTAAAGGTACTTCACGTACTGCGCTGGCACTGCTGTCCGACGTACGGCGAGGGGCAGTGGCAGCTAAACCCTCCATCCAGATCTTGACACGTTCCTCCGTTCTTACACGGCTGGTTGACACAATCATTCACATCTGAGAATAAAAACAAGTTTTTATTTTAGAAAAAACTGAACAATAAAATCACGAGTGTTGGACGTGTGGACACCTGTGTGGAGGAGAGAACTGCTGCTGCCATCAGGTTCAAATATTACCTGATGTTTGACTCYAACACTTCAGTTTCTCASTTTAAACTTTTATGTTTTATTGTGAATCAAATGTGGTTTTATCTGGTCTGTAAATCATTTTGTTCAGTTTTTATTTAAAGCTCAGACTCTGAGACGTAAAGAATCTGTTTTCAACACTGATTTCCTCCAACAAACTAAAGGTTCTTGGGAATTTGGTAAAGGGGTCATAAGGGGACTGAATTGAACCCAGAKAGGAGGACTGGTGCATGCTAAGAGACCTGGGGGCTCTTTTATTAAGGATGCAAAGAAAGCCCCCCACAGACCCACTGAATGAGCTCCTTTCATGGACCTGCTGAGGGGACTCGTCTCTTTCAGTGCTGCTGTTGGTGCAGGGTGAAAACACTCGTACTGGACCTGCAGACACTCACTGGTCTGGCAGTGCACGCCTTCGAAGCCCGGCTGACACCTGCAGACGTATTCGCTGAAGACGTCTCCTCGTCGGCTCGGACCCACGACCTGGCAGGACCCGTCGTTCCTGCAGGGGTTGGGGCTGCAGGGTCCTGAGGGGAGCAGGAGGGAAACACCTTCATCTCAGCCCTGTTCTCCCTCCAAAACGCCTGTTTTCCCGCCCTACCTGTCTCTGTCAGGTTACAGGTGWCTCCGTCGAAGCCGTCGGCACAGATGCAGATGAAGGGGTCCTCTCCCACCCCCGTCACACAGGTTCCCCCGTTCTGACAAACGTTCACCTGACAGTACTCACCTGAGGAGAAAACATGTTCAACCATCACCAGGGGCGTCACTAGGCCTATTTTAGGGGGCTGGAGCCCCCCTTGTCTTTAAAACCTAGTGACGCCCCTGACCATCACAACCAGGTGAGCCTCACCGTTTCCTCTGTATTTTCAAAATAAAACACAGYTTTATTTGTTGTTGTCTGATGTTTACTTGTGTTGTGGTTCTGATCAGCAGGTGGTTCTGGTACGTTCAGCCGGAGCGGGACGTGTTTATCCTCAGGATTAGGAGCTGCAGGATTAACAAGGACTAGCCAGGATGAGAGGACAGGCAGCACACCTGAGAGACAGGTGAGCCCCACAGACACAAACAGGTCCAAAACACTCAGCAGCTGCAGGTCTGACCTCTTTAATCCCCCCGGGTCAGTTTGCAGGTGGACCTGAAGTAGGGCCGGACGGATCCAGACAGGAAACAGATGGTGTTGTTTCCTGCTCCACCTGCATGGAGCTGTGAGCTGAAACCAGCTTTTCAAAATAAAACTCCTCCTGTGAGGCTGAGTCACATTTAATCACCACCTCAGACAATAATGAGCAGCTAGCTCAGGATCCAAACCAGCACAGGCTCCTGACCTGCTGCATGACGTCATCACATGATGAAGGTCTGGATGTTGACCTCCTTCATGTCAACAAACAACAGAACATCTCAGGAGGAGTTGTTTCTGACCCTTACCTCTGACTGACATCAGCTGAATCAGCAGAATCCAAACTCCTAAAACTTCAGAAACTGGGTTTCCTGACAGCTCCATGTCCGCTCCTGAACCGAGCCGGGTCTGCTGTGGGAAAAACCAGAACTCAGAGCGAGTCCTCCTGCGGGCAGCCGAGCCTTGCTCTGATTGGATAACTCAGAACACGTGACTTCATCATCCAATGAGGGAAGCGCTCACCCAACCACACAGGAACGGCCACTGACGGCGCCAGGCGAGATTCTGGCCGCCATCTTGGTAGGTGCTAGGTGCGTGTCTGTCCTGTTTCCATGTTTTGTTTTGTTCAAGTCCTGAGCTGCAGTTTGCTGAGTCATCAGTCCTCCTGCTCACACTCATCCTGATTTCACTGAAACTAACTTTCATCTTGTTTTAGTGGAACCAGAAGACACCAACAGGCCCGGTCAGCGTCACCGGGTCCAACCACTGACCCAGCACACCACTGTGAGAAAACCATCCTAACTGGATCAGAACACAGCAGAACCTCATGTGATGAACTCCTTTACATGTTAGTCTGAGTCACCAAGACCCAGAACTGAGACCCAGAACTGAGACCCAGAACTGAGACCAAGAACTGAGACCCAGAACTGAGACCAAGAACTGAGACCCAGAACTGAGACCAAAAACTGAGACCCAGAACTGAGACCCAGAACTGAGACCCAGAACTGAGACCAAGAACTGAGACCCAGAACTGAGACCAAGAACTGAGACCCAGAACTGAGACCAAAAACTGAGACCCAGAACTGAGACCCAGA